GGGGGGGGGGGCGGCGTTGCGCCGACCCCCCCGGATGTTACGCCACTGGCTGAATGCCCTTCGTGGTAGAGCAGGAGGAGACGGGAACCGGGACGGAGCGGCAGGAGGCGGAGACAGGAGATGGGGCGGACGCACTAGCTGAATGCCCTTCTTGGTAGAGCAGGAGGAGACTGTTTTTTCATGGTTCTCATAAGCACAAACATCATGCTCAATTCTGGTAGATGGACTGTGTATGCCCTCATGAATATTTAAATACAAAACATGCACTAAGTGTGAATGTTAAAAAAAAACTGCTACAGAGTGTTTAGCATAGATGTATTTCTATACAGTGTATGCTTGTATGCAGATTCCCTGCTGCATGTAGGTGACAGGTCCACTTTACAACTTGGTATTATAATGAAAAAACATAAGAACACAGGGCTGTAACACAGAAGAGGCAGCTTCATCCCTCTTGGAATGGAAAGGGTTACACAGCAAGGTGCTAGATTGCCGCAAAGAGACCATGGATAATAAAACAGGCGACAAGAACTGCAAACTGCTCCTGCTGTGCAGATTAATTTTCAGTCTGTTCACTCACTAGCTTCCCTAACAGAAAGAGCTACACAATGCTTAGCAGAAGTACTATTTTCAACAAATATGTATAAAAGGGATATTTGCATATCTGTGGATCACAAAACTCTTCAGGACTGGAAAGATTGAGGTCACTCAACAGGAGGTGTAGGAACTGAACAGAACAGAAGCACAGCCTTTAAAACATAACTGTGCCCTAGGCTTGTGTTTTATGTGGCGTGGATTTCCAGGGCTGGCTCCGTGTAAATGCGCAGTCTGCTCCAAGAATTTCCCAAGAACATCTATATGGTATGTGTATGACATTTCCAACGCACATCCTAAAAAATGTTGCTCTACGTGTCCTTGCATTTCTTACAATAGTTGATACATGCAGCCTGTTTTAGCTGCATGCTGAGCTCCAACTGATTCCTAGGACAGACATATGATGAGACAAACAGCTTAGCACTGCCTGTTGCTTTCCTGAATGTTGCCTGACCACATTAGACGCCGCAGGCACAATCAATTTCATTGCTCCTCCATGACGTACCCTCTTGGCCTACCGTTCCTGGGAGAGCATTGAAAAATGGGTGGTCACAACACAAAATCTTGGATGACAAGTATTTCCTGCTTAAATTATAACACTTAAGGCAAAGATATCCTTTTGAAAAACCAAAATGCAGCACTCGCACTGATGAAAGAAAGTGCTTCTTTTTTTTTTTTGCATATTCAGGCCTGCAGAGCATTGCAACTGTGATCACTGCATCATGGGTGCAATGCACAGGATCCTAAATGTTTACATAGGTATAGACCTACCCTTATGGGGCTGGAGGAAGTAGACTACAAGCGCAGTCATGTTACCTTACTTGTGCTCTATTGTGATCTGCAAGTTAATCTGCCCAAGTAGCAGATGGGACTTGTAGTCTTTCCATCCCTATAAATGGATCTATGAATAGATGCAGTCAAGCAAAGCTGTGCCGAATTTAAACACAGACAGTATTGGTGTCTTCCATTAGTTACTTCATATAGGTTATGAAGAGGCTCATGGCAACTCCAATTTTGATTATAAACCACTGACAACTGCACAGTATTTATAGTCTTCACATCAGAAGAACCAGTCCAATATTTTAAAATAAGCCACAAAACACTACAAAAGTGAATATGAGAGATTACATCACAGGCTTTGTTAAAACAACTGCAATCCAAATGTCACCCTGAGTTAATGTTAGTATTTCACACCGTGCAGAACATGCTAGGTCCACTCACGAGCAAACACCTACTGCATTAATCGCTTTCTGGCCGGTATAAATATTTCATCACGAGACTGTCAACCTGCTTCTTCCTCTTTTTATCCTCCTTTTTTGACTGCTTAGTGTTTTTCTCATCTTTCTTGTCATTTTGAAGATCTTCATCTGGGTCCCTTTTCTTGGGCCCTTTTTTCACACTACCTCCACTACGGTATGATACTGTAGAACCAGATGAGGAGTCTGACTCAGATGATGATGATGAGGAAGAGGATTCAGATTCTTTCTTCTTTGACTTCTTCTTGGATTTCTTGGAGCGTTTTTTAGAACTCTTCTTTTTGCGATCATCCTCAGATTCTGATTCAGAACTACTTTTTCGAACTCTGCTCTTCCTGCTTGGTGCCCGAGAGAATTCCATAGCTGAGGCTGACCTCTTGAGTCCAGAAGATGATTCTCCTTTTTCTCTGTGTAAGCTTTTCATACTCCGTACACTTTTTGAATCATCTTCATCAGAATCAGGATCAAGACTCTTTCTCTGGAACTTGATAGGCTTATAGCTCAGGACCTCATTGATTGCAGCCTCCAGATCTGGATCTAAGTAATTACGATGAGACACTGGCTGAAGATCTCGGCTTTCCAATTCATTGTCTTCTGCCCCTGGTGTCCTTGCTTGGGGAGGTACAGAAAAACTACGCCCAGAATGCTGGCTGTACAAAGAGCGACTATCACTAAAACCAACACTAACCGAGTCATCAAAATCATCTAAACTGCTTCTGGCCATAGACAATCGAGTGTCTGATCGGTTTCCAAGAGTAGGGCTTTCTAGGCTGAAGTCAGATCGCCTACTCAGTGAGGGACTTACAGCTGACAATCCATTACGCGTCTCCTCTAATTTGGAAGTACTTCGCCTTAGACTTGGAGGACTGGTAATACCAAAGCTCAGGGTTGATTTTGTGTCATCTTCATCTTCCAAACCCCGCCTGCTAGAGAGGCGACTTGACACAACAGACACTTTATCAAATTCAGGGCTTGCAATTGACCACCTCTTGTCAAGTCCTTTCCTTGCCCTACTGGATGCCTCAGTAAATGCTTGAGAAACCATAGATGAACGATCATCTAGATCTTCACTGCCTTGAGATTTTCTCCAGGAACTCACTGATAACGTATCATCAAGGACACTTGCTGTAGAGTCCTTCTGAGACTTCCGGAAAGATCTCTCTGGGGACTCGGGCCTCTCTTTTAGCGTTGAGAATAGTGAATCCTCATCGCCTTTACCACCTATGGAGTCTTTAATAACTGCTCTCTTTCTATAACTCAGGGAACTCATTACAGACACTGGTCTCTCCTCCAGCTCTTTCCCTTGTTTGACTGGCTTGGCTTCCTTTCCTTCTTTTAAATCTGTACTTTGGCTAAGTCTTTAGTTTGAGTATGTGTGGAAATATGAAAGGTGAATCAGAAAGAAGACAGAAAAAAAGAGTTAAATATAAATGAAAAGAAAAATGAAAACGTAAAAGGTGATATCTTAAAAAACAGAATAGAAAATAAAAAAAGCTTAAATGCTATGTAATAGAAGGAGAAGAAAAATATAAACTTGTGTATATCAAAATAATATAACTATGCATTGGCAGGTCAGAAATAAAACAAAAATGTACTTTTTTTTTGGATGGATCTATGAGCTGGTTTCTACTGACTGAATACTATGCTGTCAGAAATGGGTGATGCTAAAAGTAACACAACACAGACAATCTAATCTTGAGCAAGACTCCTATGGTTAAATTATATATTTGGCCACATGAAAGAATTAAGAGCTCATAGCAGACTATTCGATCTCAACAATATGCCTTGAAAAATTAGTTTGGGGACATTGGCTCTTTGAGTTGCAAAGCTGTGGCCTGATGCTAATTGCTGGGAAATGACTAATGTATAGCATGATTCAAGCTGGCTTGAGAGCACCCCAAGTTATAAATTGTGATTGGTTTCCTGCTTAATGACGCACACAATTTGCTGATGACCCTCAGCAGAGGGATGCAGGCTGACATAAACATGCTCCTTCAAGAAGTCTTCCACATCTAAGGCCTGTCCAAGGAGTGAAATAGACAATTACCACTGCAGATTTCTGGCACAGCTCCCTGGCGTTTAGTACTCAATTTAGCTATAGATGTATACAAAAAAAAAATCATGTTGTATACCTGACATAAGTAAATAATTTACTGCAAATTGTACAGTCAGCTATTGGGTAAGGGTGTTTTAAAAAGCACACAATATTCAGGGCCTATTCATTTTCTTTATGTGAAGCCAGCTGTCACTGAAAAATCTTTGGAACTTAAACCTAGAAGAATTTGCAATTGTTTTCATAATCAAAAGACACAAATTTAGAAGGCGAGATTGAGAGACAGATGGCAAGTGAGGGTGAGAAGATTAAAGAACATTTTAAAGGTAACCTACCTTGGGCCTTCTAAATGTATCACAAACACAGATGTGCGACTAAAGATGAGAAGCCGTATTTGTGATTCTAAATAAATTGGTTCACATTATATTTAACTGTAGATTTTGTTTTGGATGGAGAGTGGTGCAGCTGCAAAAGACTGTACTTTGTCGCTTCCAAGAGGCAAACTCTCACAAGTGGATTCCATTTGTAGTAACAACTGCCAGAGGTAGGATGGTGCCTTACTCATTGTGTCTTGTTGAGTCTCTGACATAGGTGATGAGGTGAGATGTCAACAGGGACCCAGAGAACAATAAAAACCAGTCAGGGTTTATAAGCCCTCCCTACTCAATACATTCCACATTATTTATCCCCACTGGTTATTCTTATAGTTTTTAGAAGTTGATGAAAATGCTAGTAAATCAGTGGAAATGTTCCCATCTTTCTAACTAAATTGGTAGAATCTTTAAATATGTCTAACAATTTAGCAAGACTTCAGCAAAATTACACCTCCTTTGGTTTGTATGAGTGCTTTGCTTCGCAAGAGAATTATACATTTTACCATTATCATCAGGCACATGAAATGGCAGGGAGCCTGTCCCTAGAATAAAAAAAGGAAATGGTGAGCTGTGGCTTAAACACTGCATCTGGTTTTTTGGACCACCCCAATGTGACACCTTTGAACTGTCCACATGTGTACTCTGCAGTTCAGGTCTGCACAAATAATCTGTCCCAATGTCTGCAGATACTTGGCAGGGTTTAGAACTACCTGCCAAATGCTGCTGTTTAACCATCCGTCTGAATATATCTTCGAGTATGTCACATGAAAGAAGCCCAGACATGTTCAATTACAAGGAAGCAAAATTTCACATTAACATTCACCAACCTTGAGCTCTTTAAACTGCCATCATCTGAGAAGGCTTTGGAAGAACCTTTGTTCTTAGACAGCCAAGACTTTACACCATCCACTCGATCATCAAGCTCCGAATCTGCATCTGAATCTCCATCACTGTCAGACAATAATATACAGTTAATAAGTTTAAGTCCCCAAGAACCCAAAACATGCTTTATCTGTACTTACAGAGTTAGATTTATTACAATAGGTAAAGAAAGAGAAAAGGATAAGGTTATATGAATACAACAAAGGATTATTGATACATTTGCCATTCCTGGATTTAGTATAACAAAAAGAAATAAACTGCCAGCAATAATACACGAAGCATGTAAATTGTTACAGATTTTAGATTGAACTATCAGGGACAATGTTAAAGTGACATTAAGGGGAAACATTTCTCTCTCCCCCCCCACTGCTAATGTAAGGACTTACCTTAAATGATGCCTCTTAATCCGACCATCTTCTTTCCCGTAGTTTTCAGCTGTCCCTCCAACGCTGGTGCGGGTCTCCGATCCAGCGCTGACTCCTCTGTCCTCCGCTTCCCTCATGTCCCATGGAGTCTGTGCGGGTGCAGGCTACTCCATATACTTACCTTGTGTCTCTCCTTGTCTCCAGGCCGAACATCTGAACTGCGCATGCGCCAGCCCCAAGATCCTTTGCGGCCGCACAACAAAATTTTCAGATGTTCTGACGGGAGCACGCGGCGGAGACACAGCTAAGTATTAACCCTTTGAAAAAGTTTTTTTTTTAAAATCGGATTGCATATATCTCCTGCTTGCTAGCAGGAGATATATGCAAAAACATGCAAGGGTTTAATAACGCTTTAATAACGCTTTAATAACCTCAAAGTAATCAATTTCCTTGGCAATTTTCATGCTAAAGCTTTAAATATATATGGCATGATGGTATTGTTATTTGTCCGGGTGCTGTAGCGCACCTTCAGAAATGTCAAATGACTAACCTTTTGACTAGCTGACAACCAGGACCTCAAAAGCAAGTATCATACCCAATGAATATTACAGTGTCCCAGCAAATTGTGACTCAGTGACTGGTTGTTTTAATAGATCCTGCTTCATGGGTTCATCCACTACATAATAGTAAGAAGTGATTAGGCTCCTTAAAGTAAACCTATTAAAAAAACAAATATGACACCACCAATGTCGACCACCTCCAAATAAAATATTTCCCTGGCTTACTAAAGAGTCACTAACACAGAACAGATAATGAGTTTTTACTTGACTATAAACTCCGATTCCAAATGTTTCAGGTCATTGACAGTCAGGCCACAAGTATGCGCAGAAGGAGACAACCAAAGACAAGACCTATAATTATTTCATGACAGGTTTCCTGTAAAGCAATATTATTATACCCATTATAGCAATGTTGTATAATGGGTATAATAAGGTATGCATTCTTCCCTTTACCTTGCTATCCTACCATTGGAACCCATCCAAATTCCCATTTAGGTTTCAACTCTGAAATTCAGTGCTTGCACAGTACTAAAGCAAGCAAAGCTGTCTCTATATATTACAGGAGGTTTTCTGCTATAGATTTTCTCACGAGATTTCTCATCCCTAATTAAAAGATAACGGTGCCACATCCTGCAGGATACAAGTTTCCATGCTATAACTCACTCTGCAAAAGTTCCCTTCTTGTAGCTGCAGTTATTGTTCAGGTAACAAAAATCAACTGAAAAAATTGACTTTTGTCAAGTCGGGTGGAGCTGGCCAGGGATCGAATTATGGCCGAGACCAGAGGGAACGACTGAAGTTCAGTTTGTATATGGCCAGCTTTAGTTGGCTACTAGCTAAGACAAAGCAGGTCCTTCTCATTCACTATTGCATTAAGCAGCCGAAACAACTCACTGATCAGGATGTTATCTCTAATTCTAACCAGCACAGATGTCTCCACAGATGTCTGCACGGATAGATTTAACTTCAACGCCTGTTCTGCACTGATCAGCGCGGCAAAAATAGTGCAGGGAGCAGTTCGGGCGGGGGGTCGTTCAGATCCGCGGTCGCATGAACGGTCCCCATAGCAATGTATGGGATCGTTCATGTCGGCGGATCCGTGCGGACGAACAGCCCCGGTGTGAACGGGGCCTGACAGGGATTATAACCCTTCCCTAATCAATCCAAACTAGCTTTAGCTCTACATACAATTTTAGAAATAAAAATATGTTAAGGGGTGGCCTCAGGGCACAGACAAATGCATCAATGGTGTGGAATTTTTCTGGAAGCTTCATTTATCAAAATATATCCTACAAAGGAGTAATTTTGGGATGTTCCTTTATTTCAATTCCCCTTTAAAAGATAAAAGCCGCGTCAAGCACACAATTAGAATGAGAATACTGCAATATAAATGTGCAACAGAATTCACAGTTCTGTATTGTTCTGCTATCTCCCACAGGGCCTTGTTGCATTTAAAATCTACTTGTGTCATTATGACAGCCTGGTAAAGGTTTAGCATCAAATGGGAATGCCAATTGCTGTGCCGACAGACTCACTCAGGCAGCTGCTTGCAAACCTGAAAGCACCACGGGTAATTTAAACCGACTCGCCTGTTACAATAATTTAAAATCAATAAATATTTCAGCATTTCTGGCCTGGCGTCCATATTGGAGATGACTAGAGCAGAAGGCTGGGCGGCAGGATAGGCTTTAAGAGAGAGCGGATATTTCAGCCAAGGCAGCGTTACATAATATTTAGTGATGCTCTGTAAAGAAAACTAATTTGCAGCACTGAGTGTATTAAAAGGCTGCTGTCACAGCAATATGTCATCAGCCGAACTCTTCGTCCTCACACCGGCAGCTGGTGCAATTCATCAGGGAGATTGCTTACAGGTGAATTTACGAAAAAATTTACAAAAATGACAAGAACATTCATAAAAAAAGAGGATC